GCACTGCTGCACTGGCCATGTCACATACGGGTCATGGACCTACGATTCTAGGAACTACAACACAATAGACATTACACATTTACCATTCAACTTGATAACAAAATTGAACCATTTGGGTGATAACGTCATTATTGCTTTTCCACATAGGTAAGACTAAGTACTATAAGACTTATCAATCAAATCAACTCATTTTATTCCCTACACAACGTAAGCAATGCAGGTTCACATATTAATTACGGGTACGTTCCACATGTACTGCCAACCACCAAGAGCTAGGTAGCCGCATTGTCTAAATTGTTGGCCATCTATAGCTAAGGGTATTATGGCAAACTCCTTGTAAAGGAGATGTTTGTTCTGCGATGTGCGTCTTCCGGCTGATGACCAATGATGGCAGACGAATCGACGAGTCGCCCAACTCGCCCAGGTGCTCTTGTCGACCATCTGCATCATCGCTATTGTAATTTAATTATACATCTTGCATGTTGTATTGTATGGTATTTGCGACCAGCCTGAGAGCGGAGTCCTCTCACGATGCAATTGTTTTGCCAACAGTCTCTTGTTTTACTTTTAAAACAATGTTCTTAAACAAACTCATTGTAGCGACATCTTTTTTCTGAATGAGATCCCTGAATTGAACGCACGGTTGGCGCAGTGGCTGCGGTACTCACTGCTACACAACGCATCGCGGCTTCCATTCTCGTACGGAACAATTCTTTGGGTAATCCACAAATTGTTATTCCGCGCCTGAGTGATGTGTACATGCGAATTGCATACTTTATAATAATATAGCTTACTACTTTTATGTAAAAGTATTTACATATATCCAAGCAAAGGCGGTCCTAACTATCTACTGGTTCCATCGCTACATATACAGGATGTGAGGATGATATCAGAACACGCACGTGACGTACGTGCGCATGCGTGCATACTGTAGATACTCCAGCGCTGCACTACTCACCGAACGACCACTGAGATATATAGATGAGGAAGATTGCGTGCCATGTAGTATTAAAAACTAAGAAGCAAAAAATAACTATTATTGGTCATACATACTTACATATAGCTTACACACCCACTGATAGATAAGAAGTCGGTGCTACTGTTAACCGTTGAGGAGTTCTCTCAACTATGGTACTACTTCATCATCAGACCCATTGGCAATCACAAACTACCTAGGTATAAAGTCCTCATCAATACAAATTAATCAAACCCAAAGAAGAGAAAATTTTTTGAAATCGCTCCAGGCGTCTTCGAGTAATCGAATAACAAACATAAAAAAAAACATACAACCGAATTGAGAACCTCCTCCTTTTTTTCGAAGTCGGTTGAAAATACCTCTGTACGACTAGGTACCTATTTTAAACACTGGTCCATACTAGAATTTTCATATAGCATTCAATTTACATAATAGAACAATTATAATGTATTATATTAATCATTTCCTTCACAAATAGCAATTTTAGAATCGTTCCACCTGGAGTTATGTTCATATCTAAACAATATTGAAGTATGCATAACATCTTCATTTCAAGTAGGTTAGAATAAAGAGTCTTAATTGGCTAATACCAAATACTTACTTACATAATACTGATCAACCATTAATCAAGAAAGTTTCACAATTTGGACCAGGCAATGTTTGACCCGAGTCGGTGCCATCATTAATATCGCGTTGTTGTTGTTCTGACGCCAGTCACTCGACTAACAATAACGCCGCATCCACAAAGCACATTAATACTCCTACATCCATACACAGTCGTTACAAAAGAATACTCCTTGTTGACAAGAAGACAAACAAATACAAATGTGTTGCGACAGAGAATGGTGCAGATATTAATGACTGTGATTGTATGTGACTGGTACAACTCTGTCGGCCCTTGTTCTACTAATGTATTAGTAAAATGCTCTTGTTGCTCTAACGAACGCTTTCCATTGAATTCATTGGTTTCATTAACCCAGAATCACTGTCGTATAACTTAATTCAACCACTTTTCCTTTCAGTTTCAGTTCAAATTCAAACACAAATTGATTTTATACATATACAGACACGTAGGTATCACAAGTTTATGAATACAAATGTGTCGAATATAAAACCAACAAAGTCGTTATAAGATTGAAATTAGGGCATAGATGTAGATGCACCCAGCGAGTGTACTTAAGGAAATATTTGACCCACTGCCGGCAGGGCAACGCTCGACCTTCCAAACCAGACCGGTTCCAGTAACCAGTAAACACACTATCCACTACCACTGCCGCACTATGTTAACTATGTACTCTGTATGTACGAAATGCACTTCTAATTCTAACACATTTGTACTGGTACAACGACAAATGCTTGAAAATAATGTTAATTATTACGCGTTCTGTCGTTCTATTCGTGCGCTACTTGACTCTCAGATATTCAGAATGTGGAGCGAATGTGCATTTAGAATGTGCAGTAAGTAACGCTATTCTGCCTAGTTACGGGATCCAAGATGAAACGAAACTTCAGACTTCACGTTTCAGAGTTTTTATGGTTGTATCTTCTGTCGATCTTCAACCTGGCTTACAAAGTTGCAGGGGTTCAGGGAGGTTGAAGTAAGTCACATTTGGTTTACGAGTTCCAAAGCATAGATGTTAGAGTTAGAATGACATGATGTCAGACTTGCTGGTTTTGTAGTACAGAAGTAATTCCATGAAAGAATACACAATAGATATGTGACGTTGAGTGATGGAGTACTCGGATAAGTGTCCACTTGTCCAGTACATCCCTGCTTAGAAATGAAAGGCCGGTGTTATGCAAGCGGCGCGCGCTGCGGTGCGCGTGCGCCCAACGCGAGTTAGTGCGCACCATGGCTGCGGCGCGCGCGCTCTCTCTGCTGGCGCTCTGCCACCTCGCCTGCGCCGGCGCTGGCGCTGCTCCTCACATCGTCTTCGACTTGACCGGTACGGTAGCAGTGTGTGTTCAGTGCTCTGATATCTTACTTTGTCTCGCATGTCCGGAGTGTGGAGGCCAGTACTGGCTTTCACTAGATTTGTAAGGGTTTGTACAAGGGCCCGGTTCGCGTTCAGGTCTTTGGTAATCGTGTCTAATCGATTTGAAAGTGACACAACTGAAATATAGACAACTTGCGGCTTTGGGCCAGTCACATTCAACGAGAGCAATCACTATTGGGCTGAGATTTGCCGACTAGTTGGTTACTATCTAGATGTGCAACATAAGTTCTAATTTGAGTATACAGTGCGGTGCAAGTAAAAGGGACTCGGTTCTATTTCGAGTGTGTTGGTGTGTCGCTGCATAATGTATGAACGGTTCTGGTCGACCAGCTAATCGGATCGTGGTTCATTGCAATAGTCCCACTTACCCGCTGCAACTTGTAACTTGACCGTATTGACGCGGGCGCGGGCTCTCAAACTACTCACTAAATAAAATATTAGATAAATAGACAATTACATAATTTGCCTGAAAACGAAAGTTATCCGCGGTGATTTACTCCGCTAGCTCGCTGATTATATGCAATGTTCTACCGCAGTCCACAGTTCGATACGCGGTCGGTTCAAAGTTCCTCGTATCCTGTTTATAAAACAACAATAAGCTTGCGCTTTATAGAAATGCATTAACTCACGCCTTTGACCTGTGATGGTGGGCAGACACTTATATTTCAACTATAAGTATTAATCAACATTCAACATAGATACTTGTTCATAGTAACATGGTGCTATAAATAGTACCTGGGTGGCTCTGTGATGGATGAATGGTTCATCATCACAGGTCATGCAAGGCCCAAAGTCAAACCATTTATTTGACTCAGGCTAAAAAGGTGTTTTTAAAAGTCAAGCAATCGATAGAAATGACTTCACTAAAAAAAACCACTTTATTGAACCTATTTGCTTATTCCATAGTGTAGATTCCTGTGGGATGGAGGAGTCTATATCCTACCTAGTAAAAGCCCGTCCATTAAGAGTTCCCTCTCCATGCAGCAGTTAAATAACTAAGACATAAGGAAATGTATAGTAACAGTTTAGTTACAGTCTGCTAGAGTACTTGAGGTTTGCACAAACTAACCGCCGGCCGCCGCGTGCCGGCAACCGGAGTGTAAATGTTAACTCGAGTGTTGGCCAACATTTGTGTTCTGCGGGCAGTTACTATTGCATACTAACTATATACATTTGTAGATAATTTACGTCATTACCTAAAATGATAACTACATTTTGACATATTCCTATAGAAGTTTTGTCAAAATTTCATTAATATCTAGCTCCTAGAGGTCTGTAACCACCTGCACAATAGTTCCGTGACCGTGTTGTCCCATTTCCAAGATGTTCGACAATTTGTTTCTGCTCGTAATGAAAGCAGCTCAAAATATTGATCTTGATGTGAAGCTTTTCCAAATTAGATGACCTTTATGAAGTTTAATGTACATAAAATGTACTAAACTATGTATATGTACCCTCGGTTTCACTTACGTATATTTTCATTTTCTATCTTTAAGACTTTTTACGAATGATTAAAATTAAAATAATTTGCCAAAACTAAACTAGCAATTGACTCTTATATGACTGGATGCATGTTGCTTTCGACCAGCTAGCCGAGCCGACAGTCATTGGGAGAGGTCTGTGCCCGGCAGCGGATGACTTGTGGCTGATGTATAGAGACTAGCTTTTCGTTCCTGGTTTCCCTGCCGTTACTCAACCGTATGAATAAAATAAATCTTCTATAATCACTCTGTCCGCTGTTGAAAACCTATTGAGTAGATTTTGATCTCGACTGACAGAGTGACCTGACAACTTTATTTTTCAATATGTAAATAACAGAAAGAAGTGAATAATGTATGTGTCTCACAATATTTTAAAATCAATATCAGATAATAGCATTATGATAATATTTGCAAATTATATTAATTTATTTTGTTGTAAATATTCATCGGTACACTACTGTAGCACCGTAACTAGTGAACCAACGACATACACTGCGCTGTTAGTAGGAGTTGGCTTATGTTCCGATGTCAGCGGGCTTGTGTTGCGAGGAAAGTCCGTCGAGCTTTGTACGCATGCGCAATTTCTAACACTTTGCGGGAAAGTGTCGTCTGCTCATTATATCTAACTCTAGCAATAACTAGCGACTGCACTTTCCAAGACACTTGTGATGATTTACTTTATTAATATGTACCTAATGAGTAATGACCTTTTTTCTTAATACTAATTTGCATTGGCTGCGTGCTCCAGTCTTCGGATCGTAGAACCAGAGATAAGAGGACATAGTTACTTCTGGTCAAATCCAAACAATTTTCAATTTTTTAGTCTATTTCATGACAATCAGTTTCTAGAACAATAGCCACTTCAGATCCACAATAGCAATTAAATCGGTTAGGTTTCTTCCCAGCTCTAAACTAGACATTACCATATGTACAGTGACAGGCAACGAGTTCCACACGTATTTAATATCTACAGTTATGTAGATTACGGCGCTATCATTGTATTCCGGTCGATATGCAGCGCGTTCACATTGACCTTACACTTCCGGCGCACACACCGGCGCCGGCGCACCACAAAGGATGTGTTGAGCAAGTTACACTTCATTCATCACGTACACGTACTTCTGACGTGTGACGCGTGTGCTGTTTATATGCACGTCGTCGTACGTGTACGGACCGACCGACTACTGCTGGACATACCTCTGTATCTGTATTGATGGTATAGTCGAGGCCATCTATATCAAATGGAGATTTTGTAGTTATCAAGCATATTACTGACATTAGCAGTTCGTCAGTAAACAATGTCGGAGGTGGGCCGGCGTGGTCCGCGCGTGCAGTGGACGTTGCCGCGCGTTGTGCAAGCCGGCCCCGATACCCGCGCCGCGGCTTACTTCACCCGCCCATTAACTAAGCGAAATGATGGATATTTGTGTTATTGCCGCATTTTGCTAGTTTCAATGCTTTGTGAAAGGGTAAACTATCGCCATACATATGTAGAAACAACGTGTCTATTTGTATTATTTTATAACAGCGCCCGAGCTCTGGTTAGTCCACGCATGTATTTATTGTAATACATGATGTAAGGGCTCGCGGGCACGCTGCATACAAAGGTCGGTGCATTAACATGACAATATGTCGTCGGGCACATCACAGCGCGCACTGTCAATGTCAGTCGCTGCCCCCGACAAGTAGCTCCCGGCGTTTGTAATACCACCACCTAGCGCCTAGCCCTAGCGGTACCTGCCGGCTATGATTTTTACGTAATGACTAATGACTAATGACAGGAATGTGGGGCTAAAGAGGGTTGTAAGATGTCAATCACTTCGATGTCAATGTCAGTGTTATCACTCTCATCTAATTTACCTATTCTCGGTTGCCATTACAGGAAAGAAACGAAGATTTACCTATTGATTGATGTTATGTTTCGTCTGGTCCTAATTAATTTATTTTCATCAAATAAGTTTCCGTGTGTGTTCTTCAAGTTAATGGTGGTGTTATTACAGAGGAGCAGTACTACGAGATGCCGCAGCTGTTCGCGCTGGACGAGTGGCCGGGCTGCCTGGCGGCGCGCGGCGCCTACTGCGTCGGCAGCTTCGAGCTCGCGCCGGCGCAGCAACCACACCCGCTCTACGACCTCATGCAGGTCCGCGTCTACATTACTATTGCACAATTCACATATGGAACACCTGGCTTCTCTGTTTCTATACTATATGTCAATAATTTAGTCAGTGATAAGTAATTAACTGACTGCACGGTCGGTGCGGTGGCTGCAACCGGCTGCTGCGTAACGTGTCGCGAGTTCGATTCCCGGGCGGAATGAGTCTTTCATTCTTAAGTAATCTGTGCGTATGTGAAATTGTACATTTGTAAACGCACCCACGACACAGGCGACAATACTAGTGTCGGGCAATGCTTAAAAAATACAATAAATTCCACGACCACTCCTCATTGAGCGAAGCGGCTGAGAAGAGAAGTTCAAGACTAGTAAATACGAGACAGCACCTACATTGCGATGTGCACATTTAATTAAAGACCTGTTTAAGTGTTTTATGCAATAAATATGTGTTTATATTGTCGAGTGGCTCGCGGCGCCGGCCGCTGGTCGCTCGGCATACATAGCAATGTTTAGTCAGTACATAGATGTACGTATGTGTGTAGCGTGCTCATCTCTACAGCTGGAGGTTGCGCTCTCGCTCGTCTAGACCCAGCGCAGTGCTTGCGATTGTGTAACACTACAAATAACTATTACGCGTTCTCCTACTAACACTTAGTGAAAGTTTATTTGTTAAGACATCATCGCCTTAACGGCTGAACGGATTCGAGTGAATCTGGTGCATGCGCAGAGATAGATCGTGACCTCGATACCGTGACACTTATCAGTTGTCACGCTGTCACGTCGTCACTCAGCGTTCACAGCCATAGAATAATCAACTATTTTGTCTATTTGTCACACAAATCGATTCGATTGAGTTTTACGTAAAATCAATCGTGATTCACTGAAAAAGTACGAATAAGTACTGCAGTCAGCCGAGCAATGAGTGTGATGTAAGATCTCGGTACATTGCCTCCACCCCGCCGGACGTCCGACACGGATGACGGAGGCAGCAGTTACGCAGCATAACTTAACGGATTCAGTAACATGTCGTCATCTTTCTGCAAATGAGAAGTTATAATTAGATCTATGGCAGGAAGGGAGGGACCTGCAGTAACTTGGTACATTATTAGATCACTACAGTGGCGGGAGGTCGTTGAACTTAAAGAGCTCGCGAGCACTGGGTACTGCGCAGGCGCCACTCTATATGGGACAATGTAGTACCGCCCCCTCGCGGCTATTGATAGCTGTCAACATCAAATCATTCATTAACAGTCATATTGTCATAGCTTACTACTTGAATATTTATATTTTTTATCGTTATTCAAATCGAAACAAGGTACCTATGGAGTTATTACTGTCGAGGAAGCAAGTGGTTAACGTTCAAACGGCCAAGCAAATGCGAGTCCCCATACAAGTTACTTAGAAGGTGTCGTTACTTCATGTTATACTTAGAAGGCTTACCTTACATTCTAATATTTTAAAAGAATGTACAAGCATAGCTTATTACTCAATCGCCAACTAGGCTGCCGAGACCGCCGGGTTCGAGTCGCGGTTGACCAATACTAATAACTAACGGTTAAGGTAAATGAGAGCCACGTGCTGTCATTCCCGTTACCTAGGTGTGTTAGTGCTAAATCTAGCAATTTCTAGTACCAACTTTATAGGTCCACATCCGGCTGTAGAATATTCCTTATCAAAACGTATTCTGTATTTTGAAATTGAACTTTATGCTGTATGCACATAAAGTTGATAAATACGTGTTCCAGGGTTACTCAGCGAACACTGTGGAGAACTACAACCACACACGCCTGCACCGCGGGCTCTGCCTACCCCGCAGCTGCGCAGCGCATGCGCCCTCACACCAACATGACCTGCATGATGATCAGCTGCGGGACTGGTATGTACTGAACAGTTTGTGTACTATACTTATAGCTACGAGGAGTTACCGGGTGCTAGGGCTAACATTATTATTTATTTTTTGGTATATTTACTAGAATACAACACAACCTTCAATTTATTTTTTTCAAAATGTTCGAGTACAGTACCATTTTAATAATGGCTACGATTTTTAAGACGAAATATCGCACGCGTTGATGTCTTTTATATGAACAGTTTAAAAACTGACTAGGTACGAGGCATCAAAATATCAGTTGAAATGTTAAACGGAGAATGGCAGGTTTGTATGGAGGTTTTGTACCGCTATAAAATTTTGTATTTGTCATTGTTCTTACCAAGTAAATGATCTGAACGATAGATATTTTTATTGTGAGGTTTAGAAAAAAATTACATATTTTTAGAACTTGGGGTTCAAAAGTTATTTCACTTTGAAAATGTGCAAAAGGTATGTAAAGGCGGTATTACACTTGCCATTGCGTATTCGCTTCATTTATACAAATATTTGTGAACTACGTACAAATGGCGTCCAAATAGTATCTATAAAGATTGAACTGAGTACTAAGTAGTATGAATATAAACAATATAACAAAAGTACCTACTCGTTCCAGGTTTTTATCATGTGTGAACGCGAGCACGTTGTCTGCCTACAACCTGTCGGTGCAGCTCCTGCGGCTGGAATACTGTTCCATAGGCGAGGCTCCTCCGCCGGACCTGACCACTGCCGAGCGAGCCTTCGCAGGCTTCCTCGCCACAGTACTGGCACTCGCCGTGATCAGCACCGCGCTGGATCTTACACTCAGTGACCATGCCAGGAAAGGTAACAAGTTGCACTATGTCCTAACTGACTACCACTAACTGGGACATGTTGTGTTGTAGCAGGTGCTGATGGTCTTACTAGATATTTCTACAGTACCTGCAGTAATATAGTATGTACTTAAGTGTGACATGTAAATAATAGACGGATCTGCACAGGTCACCGGTAGCTGCTGCGCTATACTTATACAGCATTAATGTAAACAATACTTAATATAGCACTAGTTAGGCTACACTCCTTACATGGTACATCATTATTATATCTAACTGTACCTACATGACGGCGTGCAGGGTTGGAGTGGGCGCTGGTGTGGTCAGTGCCGGCGTGCTGGCGCGCGCTGTCGGCGCCCCCGCCCCGCGCCGCGCGCACCGACCTCGCCTGCTTCGACGGGCTGCGCGTGCTCACCATGCTCGTCGTCATCATCGAACACGTCTGCTGGATCACCACGCAGACATACCTCACCGACACCAAGATATATGAACAGGTCGCTTCACGCAACATATTCATTTGTTACTCTAGATCTGAACATGAACTTTTCTAAGTTGTTCTTGGACCATAAGGATTTTAATATGAGTTAACATCTGAGATGTAGCTATAGTATCATACCTTCATTAATTTCAATCATATATTATGATTGACAGATGCGCGGCTCCATCGACGTGATTCTGATGACGAACAGTACGCTGGTGGTGCAGATCTTCTTCATCATGTCCTCGTTCCTACTGGCACACAAGTTGCTGCAGCAACGCCGACGTGGGGAACACGTGCCGCCCTTCTCCACATTCGTCGACACCATGTTCAACAGGATCATCAGGTCAAACCATGGAAACTAGGAAACTGGACACCTCCAGTCACAATCACTCTCTCCATATCATTTCTGAATATCTATTTAGAAAGGAATATTTCTTTTCAACCTATGATGTTAACAAAAAATATATGTCTCGCAGGGTGAGTCCATCCTACTGGGTAGTGGTATGGTTCGCTGCGTCGTGGTGGCAGCGCACTGGGCGCGGGCCGCTGTGGGCGCCCATGGTGGCCAGTGAGGCCGCGGTCTGTCGCCACAAGTGGTGGACACATCTACTGTACTTGAACAACATCCTGTACGCGGACGACAAGTGTCTGATACAAACCTGGTGAGTTATTGTACTCACTGTAATAAGAATTAGTACCTAGCAATTTTTTTAAACAGGGCAACGTTTATATATTACACAACACTAATATTTTGTCCGTTTTGCGTTTACAAACATACAAGTTCACATATGTACACATCATACCCAGACCCGGAACAACGATCTGTGGATCACACAGAGAGTTGTTCCGTGTAGGAATCGAAACCCAGCCACCGGACCAACCGTTCAATCAGGATGGTCATTGATAGTGGTGCTGTCTCGCAGGTACTTGGCAGCAGACATGCAACTGTACGCGGTGTGCCTGGCGCTGACGCTGGTGCTGTGGCGGTGGCGGCGCGCGGCGGTGGTGGTGCTGAGCGCGCTGCTGGTCGGCTCAGTGGCGCTGCTGTTCGGCCTAGCTTACTACTGGAACCTCGTACCTACTTACGTCATGCATCGCCCCGAGTAAGCTAATGCCTGCTTATTTTGTTTTAGTCTGCGAAAAGTGCTGGTGCGGTCAACCGAACCAGATTAAAACTGTACGAGCAGTCCTAAAGTTACGGTGACCTATAACTGCGAACCGAAAACCAAACTTGGAAATTAAGCTGAAGGAGCAATGTTTGCAGGTCGGTGTGGCTGGCGTACCGCGAGGAGCCGTCGTTCAACGTGCTGTACCAGTCGCCGCTGGGCAACGTGCCGGGCGCGCTGGCCGGCCTGCTACTGGCGCACCTGCACCACGTGCTGCTCGACCTCGACGTGCAGCTGCCGCGGTACAAGGTACCCAACTAGCATACCCCGTGTGATACCTTCGCTGGGACCTACACAGTAACCACTACTCTAAGCCTAAACTACAAATAAATAGGATTTTGACCTCTTTAGAAATACAGTACCTGTGTAATGCACGCGTACTCTCTTATTGTTGTGGAAGCATACACGTCCTGTCTAACGGATGTGATTACCTATTACATTGTAAACTAGAGGTAATACCGGTAATATCACCTCTACGTACCTAGCACCACCCGCTAGTTAGAAGGGCGGCGACAATGTACTGTAATCTGCATAATGAGTATGCTTAACATGATGTATAGTAGTTATTGTAGTTGTGGCTAAGAAGTATAATGTGTTGTGTTGCAGATATTCGGTTGGCTATCAGTGGCGGCGGTGCCGGTGGCGGCGTGGTGGGTGGCGGCGTCCCCGCTGGCGCTGGGCCGCGGCCCGCCCGGCCGCCTGCCCGCCGCCGCACTCGCTGCCCTCGAGAGACCTGTGTTCTCCTTCTTCGTGGCCATGGCACTGCTCGGCGCTATGAATGGAATCCCATGTGAGTCTGGTTTCGACTATACTCAAGCTCACGCCCCTTTTCCAGCATTTATTAAGTAAGCTTACATAAAAAAATGCGTTCCATATCCACAGCTGCAGTGAAGCGCTGCCTGTCATGGCCGGGCTGGGCGGCGTGGGCGCGGCTGTCCTTCGGTGCGCTGCTGCTACACATGCCCATCAACAAGGCGCTGGTGGCGTCGCGCCTCATGCCGTCCATGCTGGACCGGCAGGCTGCGGTAATGTCGCGCAACTGTCTCTAAGCTTATACGGAACGATACTTCTTATAATGTCAGCGGAACTTCAGAGCTTTATGTAATGTTGGCAGATAACCGAGTGGTTCGGTGTGGCCGCCGTGTCGTACATGGCGGCGCTGCCCCTGGCGCTGCTGGTGGAGCTGCCGGCGCAGCGCCTGGTGCGCGCCCTGCGCCCGGAGCGCGGGGCCCGCGCCCCCAGCGCGCCCCCGGCCCGCGCCCCCGCGGACAAGAGCGACCTGTGAGCTCGGTGCCCTACCCGCGGTGCTCGCTGCACCGCCCCGTAGCGTACCTGTAGCGTGGGTACTGTGGTACCTGCCACTCTGTTAATGACCAACTACACAGTTTGGGTAGTTTATTGTTAAGGCTGGACCTAGTCGGGTATTTGTTACGAAATGAGTTGCACTCAGCTTCTATCCTACCAACTACCCGGACGTAAGTGTAAATAGGCATAAATGTTACATTATTTATCTTGCACACAAGTAAATCAGCAAATACAATGTACTATGTAGAATGCCTAGTTAATATTTAAACCTAGAATAGAGTGGGTCACTAAATAAGTGACAGTAATATCTCTGTAATATTTAGTGTAAACTAAATATTCACATTGACAGTTTCCATGGAATCACAACATACAACTTGATCATTGATGATGACAAGCACTATACCGAGCTGTAGGATCTCCAGCCATTCCATGCCAAGGCCCATGGCAAGTAGAGGGGCATGCCTTCTATTATTTATAAAGCACTGCAGCATTGCGGTAAATAAAGTAGCTATTTAAAAAAATGGGTGCAGACGACCCACTTCCTAACTGCTGTAAAAAGCTAATAAGTTATGGTATGGCTTCATCTAGAGGGGCGTATTGTGATAATAGAGTGTAGTGTTATGTCGTAGAGGGCGCCACCACCGCCCGTGGTGACAGACCTAGCTAAGCATGTGGTAATTATGTTTAGATGTAGTCTGTACATGTATAGCTCTCGGTGAACGATGGGATCAATCCCTCAATCTGAAGGATTGTCGTTGTCACATTGACTTATGTTATCATCAGATTCATCTTATGCTAATTGGTGTAAGTTCAGATAAATAAATCTGTACAGTATGTGAGGGTGGTTTTATTTGTTCCTGCTTCTTCAGTGTAGGACTATCAGGTCTCCTGGTTACCTCGATTACACAACCATATTGTGTACATGTAGTATGCCATTGTTTGAATGATAGAAAATTGCAGTTTAGTGTAATTAAAAATGCATAAACATAATTTTAAAGAATTTATTCCTTAAAATTACACACAGGTCTGATCTCGGACACATGTACACAATGACATGATGCTACAAAGTTGAGGTCCCTTTACATGACAACCATTATTATATCCATAGTTCACAAATGGCAGCCGGCCCGCAGGGGGCTACTCAGCCGATACATGAGCAGCCAGACTCAATAACCTGTTGATTGTCTCTTTTAGAGATAGAATTCTAAGATAACTTCCATGAGTTGTAGTTTTAACTTGTGCAAGGAGCATTGTGTCATTCCAGATCTGAGTGTGATGTGTCTATGTGACACAACACAGGATAAAACTCTTTTGAGGTCCATATTAAGAAAACAAGGTTATTGAGACTGACCGTGATACCTCTAGCATAAAACTTTTTCTATATTCCATAAAATTTTATTAAATACTGAAAAACAATGCACATAATAAGGGAACTTAACACTAATCAAACCATGTTAGCCTACTTATAATAATAATTATATTAGAATATTATCACTGTTGACTATTATAGACACCAGTCTAACGTCGAGAAGGTCCAGATCCACCCTGCCAGCCTCCTCTATGCCCTCCGCCTCGACCACCTGCCCGACCTCGACCAGCAGCTGAAAAAATTAATTTGACAAATATTAAATCACCACTCGTATTAAAAGCCAAGAACTTTACTGTATAGTAAATATCAACCCAAAAGGTTACAGCGTGTGTTACAAGGTTCAATCCCACATGGAATAAGTCAAAGTGAAATCTCTGTGTCAGACATAAAACCATTTTTAACATTTTTCCATAGTCATATAAATGGTCACAGCACTAGGTTTGGCTAAAACCTTAGATTTTCATAAGCCTGATAACATAACCAGATCTAAAACAATACTAAGATAAGTGAAGTACATGAATACACAATTGCTAAAAAGATAGTTATCAGTTTGTTTGATTAGTTATGATTATTGTGACAGTACACTATCACCATAACAATAAGGAGTCCACTTTACATTTAGTCATTACATTGCTATATTTAGTTGTAAGGGGAATAAACCCTGTTGTTTTATTTAGTAGTTACAACGTCCCAAAGGATACTGAACGACTAAAGGATTGATTCGAGTAAACGTTTACACACTTAGGGTAGGTTATGATAAGTGTATAACAACAAAACAATGATTCAAACAATGTGTTATTATTAATGTTCTAGCCACACAAGCTGTATACATACCTTGTGCACGTAATATAGCACTTTTACCGCGACCGGCAGTAGGCTTATTGCCTTGTCGTTTAAACATAGGCGCATTCTTTAACATGTCAGGTAATATCAGGAACCTAATCTTTGAGCCCCTAATGTACACATTCTCCAGCTGGGCGACGCGTCCATCCCTGTAAGTTACGGTAACAAGCGTCATCTGACAATTCATATTATCCTCGGCTTCAATTAGCTTCCCGCGATAAACTTCGCCGGTATTCGTTTCACAAGTCACTACATGGCCCTCCGCTTCGTGAAGTACTTTAATAGGAACACCAATAGACATTTTGAAAGATGTAGTTACACAAACACTTCAATTAAACAACAAAATAACACTATTTCCAAGGATTAAATTGGATTAAAACAATATTTCACAAATATTGACAATCACGAAAACTCAACAAAACAAATTTACAGGCAGGCATAGACTATAGAATATTATTTCATTGTAATTTTGGCACAGATATTAATTACCTTTTTATGGTTAGTTTCATTCATGGACAGAAAATATTTTCTGAATAATTTTTAAACAACGACAGGAACATGTTAACCCATGATATTTAAAATGCTTTAGGTTTAAATTATTCAAAATGACTCTGAAAAGAAATATTCTGTGTTGCTGCATCAGTCGTTGCTGCTGATCTATTTCATTCTATAGTCTATTAATATCTATACCTTTAACAGACACCAGTCTCTCTTTATTGTAACATATTATATAATTTGTATCCTTAGAGTATTTTGAGAAAATAAAGATTTTTATTATTATTTACATATATTTATTTAAAATTCTCTATAAATTACATTTTTAAACACTACTTATAAAATAAAAATAATATTTAAAAATATAAAAAATAGGAGCCGACCAGTAGCGGGAGCATGGTCCAAGCTACCGGTGGTTAGGGCTCCAGAGACAGAAACCTCCTCACGATACGTGCCGTTTCTAGGAGAACTGCCTTCTGTATCAGGCCCTTGATCCATCCACCTAACGCCAGCCTCCTAAGATGGATGTCGAGGCTTTTAGGGATTAACCCATTGGCCGACACGACTATCGGCACAATGATAGCCGAATCCACACTCCACATGTCGACAACCTCGTGAGCTAAGTCTAGATATTTTATTTGTTTATCTTTCTCAGCTTTCACGAGGTTCTCGTCATGGGGAATGGTGACATCGATTATCATCGTGCGGCGTACTTGTCGGTCTATCACCACTATGTCAGGTTTATTGGCTACAATAGTCCTGTCAGTAATGATAGACCGGTCCCAGTACAATGTGATATGGTCATTTTCCAGAACTGGGTCGGGCACATACTTGTAGTACGGTACCTCAGATTCAACAAGTCGATAGTGTAAAGCAAGTTGCTGATGGATAATCTTGGCTACTTGATTATGCCTATGCAAATATTCACTGTTAGCCAAACGACCACAACCAGAAATTATATGTCTAATGGATTCACCAGGACTATGACATGCCCGACATATGTCAACCGTCCCATCCTTAATTATATATTTCCGATAGTTATTCGTAAGGATAACTTCGTCCATTATTGCACAGACAAATCCTTCAGTTTCTCCAAAGAGATTACTGAATCGTAGCCAAGATACGGACGCTAGAAAATCTACATTGGGCCCATGAAGGGCCCGGAAGAAGCGTCCGTGGAGCTCCTTGCTATGCCATACCTCCTTGCGATCATTGACGCTCAGTACCACAGGTTTGCGCCAGTTCTCTTTTGCCAAGGATAGTGGAGTGAATCCATTGTCCACTGCGGCTACTTCTCGATGCATACCCTCGTTGACTTTCAGGAAATATTCCCTGAGGTTGCACACCTCACGGTTGTGAAGGGTCTTAGCATTTAATAAGCCTCGACCACCACACTTCCGCGGGATGTACAACCTCATGACCGACGAACGAGGGTGATGCATGCGATTTGCAGTTAGCAGTGTCCGGACTCGCCTATCCAGGGTGTCAAGTTCAGTCTGAGTCCACTTGAGTATACCAAAAGAATACATTAGGACTGGCATGACCCAACCGTTAAAGGCTCGCACTTTGTTTCCGCCTGATAAGGAACTTTTCAGTACCCTATTCAGAATGGAGCACTCGGGATGATGGTAGCCCGCGGGATCGCTAATGCCCGTCACCTCGCCTCAAGGTGCCCTGCGGGCCATTATTATTATTATTATTATTGTACGTAAGCATCATACTTCTGTGGTTTTGACAATGCTAATAACTGTCAAATGTCAAATGAAAAAACAAACTGAATTTAGCTTTTAGCATTTTATGCCACTAAAAAGGCGCTCAACACGTATTATCGCGAATAATTAATAATCATAAATAACACGTAGTGTTAAACAGAAGAGCATTGGATTTAGAAAAATAAACCATGGCAACAGAAGTGATGAAAGTAGAGTTAGAAGTGGAGACTTGTTGCATATGTGGCGGCGGCGGTGAACTGCTGTCCCCTGAAGAACATGACGCTGGAGCTCCGCCTATGCAGGTGCCGCTGCGCACCATGCTTGTGCACCTCAACTCTAGTAAGGTACGTAAACTATTAAACGAGAAACGAGCAAAGTTCGAAATCAAAACAATTTTATAACCTCAGTAGACACAATCAGATGCAAACTAGAATGAAAAATTTTGTTATTTTATGTAAGGTGGTGCCAGAAGGTAGACTGTGTGGTAGTTGCATCCGTCGCACCATGGAGTCGTACGAGTTCAGCACAGCACTGTCTGCCAGAGGAGTCCCACCACTAAGCGAGAAGATTCGAGCACTGCGGAGGAGGTAGTTTACATTGAGTTATTAAATTTTACATTCTAGTGACCAGAATCTAGTCATATAATGTACATATCTTTATGATTACAGATTGCATGAGCTGACACAGAAAATTGACGTATTTATAGTAGTGGGGGGTGCCGGGGCAGGAGGAGCGTACTCAGAGGAGGATATCATCATGGTGGAGCGCGACACGCTGGCCGCCGCGGCAGCTGCCGACGACGAGGACCTCGAGCGAGCACGCAATGCTCGCGGAGAGTCTGTATATCAGTGCTCCGTGTGTCCTTTGTCATTTCAGGTATTAGTGGTATTATATCACATTTCATTTAAACTGTCAAACACCACGAGGTCACCGGTGACCCCAACCTATTGTTCTTTAATTGTGTATATAATGACGGTACTCATTACTCAACAAGTTAATGATTTGATATTATTCATAGTCATTATACAGGTGTCCCTGAAGTCGACTATTAAATGGCACCAGGTGACAGGCAAGGTTCCAACAGTTATCAGAAATACGATGAATTTATGCGTTATCCACGAAAAAGTACACCCTGTGCCAGTCTTTTGACTCATGCTGCTACAGTTTTATTTTTTTATGTCTGTATTTTTCGTCACATTATCCTAAATAGTGCTCCACAGCCTTTGTTCCTATAGCAACAATATTGGTAACTGCTATGAGTGAATCATGAATAATTGAGTAGACAATGTTATTTTGGGGATACTTGCTGATTTCCAACATTTTTAGTTTTCTCAACAAGTTTTCTCGTCGTTGACAAGACGACAACTCCGATTGTAGTTGTAGGTGGTAGGCAATAATTCAGACTCCCAAGTTCCTTT